TCTCAAAAAAAAAAAAAAACAAAAAACAAAAAACAAAAACAAACAAACAAACAAACAAACAAAACTACGATTAATTAAAGAAAAAAGGTGGTATAATAACTCATCAATCAAACCTTACCTTGAAAATATAATGAATGAGAGGAACTTCTTCTGTAGACAGTTTGTATAGTGATAAGTAAGCCCCAGTTCCCTGATGCTCCAAAGGCAGTCAGAATACCCATGCCTCTGGTAGGGCTTCAGGGAAGCCCTGTTCCCCCAGAGTCTCCTGGGCAGAATTCTCACATATAACATACATCAACATATAATATATATCAATCGAGACCAGAAGCCCAAGCGTAAGTCATTTTTTAAATGGAAGATAAACATACTTTAAAGTATTTAATCCATGTCAATATTTAGCAAAACTTCATGAAGTTCTAGGTGGTATGGCAAGTGTACCTTTCAAAATAAAAGGTTTAGATATATTATTTCCCATGAAATTTAGAAAAAATTCACTCACCCTCTGAAATTTTCAAAGTCACAAAAATGTGTCTTTTGTCCTTTCATTCACACTCCCAGCACAATTCCTGGCAGAAAAATAAATTAAATCAGTCTTCTTTAATTTCGATACAATTTCCTGTAGGAGGACTATAGACCCCTAAAGATAATAATAGGATAAACTATTCCCAAACTGTCAAAAATCCGAGTATAAATTGTGCAGTTGTCAGATATGAAATAACGCATACATTATACAATTAATAAACTTGTTTATTAGAGTTTTCAAAACCTGGGTCCTAAGAGTAACATGTTTCCCTTCAGAGCAACCACACAATTCTTCTTCAGTCGAAAGCTGTCATGTAAATAGACACCAGGCATGCCTGCCCTACGTAGTCAGTGGACCTGCCCAGACATGTCCAAATCCCAGCTTCTATTTTGTTGGAATCCCCCCATGAGTACTGGATGGTTCCTGGGGTTTGCCATCCTTAGACCTCAGATATCTTGGCTGGTATCATGAAGATTCCTGTGGCAGAGTCCTTCAGACACATACTCTTTGGATTAGACCAAGTGTAGTTCTGGCAGTGCTGTGTCATTTTTCTATTTTAAGAAAATGGCCAGGGAACCAACTGGCAATGTTGGGAGCCAGATATACTCCCACCAAATATCTCTTGTACTCATTCCCCAAGGACTCAGGTCTCTGTCTAAAGAGCAAGTATAAACTTTTCTTAAGAATATTGGGTCCTAAGAAGTTAGAGGCAAAAGTCACAATCCTGGTGAGAAAGAGGGGGCTCTACATTGATTACAGTTTGGAAGAAAAAGATCTTGATAGATCTCTATCTTTTTCAGCACCAAAAAAAAAAAAGAAAGAAAAAAAACACCTATGGGATGATAATGGTCATAGTATAACCCATAAGCAATGATAACAACAAAAGACCGAGGTGAAGACCAGTCTCTATAGTATCTGGAGATTGCTGTGGGCTTAGGGCTCAATGACAGCAGGTTGCAGAGGGGTTAGATTACTCAAAAGGCAGCAACACCTGGGACTTTTAAAAGAGAGTCAGTGCCTCAGGAGAATTCATCAAATCAGACTTAGAGCACTTTTTTCATTGGGCATGTGGAACCAGAGCCTGGTCAATACAATTCCCAAATAGAAACAGTGCTGCTGAAGGTGTAGTGCCTAGACCAAGAACACCAGAATGATCTGGGAGCTTGTTAGAAACACAAGTTATTGAGCATTATCCCAGAACCACTGAACCGAATTTACTAGGGTAGGGTCCAGGAAGCTATGTTTTAACAAGCTCTCCAAATGATTCTAATGTGTGTTAAGGTTTGAGAA